CTTTCTTCCATTTATCCCTTTTCACGTTTGACATAACAACTTCAGCACTTTTATCCAAACACATAACTGCTTATTTTTAAAATAAGTTTCAGCACTTTTAAAAGTACTTTTTTAAAGCTGCTTTTATTAAGCACATCCAAACGGGCCCTTAATTAAAGATTTCAATTTTAAGTATAAATTTTTTTTATAATTTATTAATAATTTGTAAATCATAAATATGAAAAAAAATTTATGTTAGTAAATGATTCTTTTTGACGTATCTTATGGTATAATGAATGAGAATAATTAAATATTTAATATGAATATTAAATTTTGAATGAAAAAAAAACATTAAAAAACAGTTGAAGATGAGTCCAAAAGAGTAATATTTTTAATTGAGTGAACTTTTTTACACCCAATCACCCAAATGTTTGTATCTTCTCATGAGCCCTAGTTCTTTATTAGTGCTTCTAGATTACAACAATTAATATTTCTAATGACCTTCTAGGCTTCTACTATTTAGTTGCACAACAGAAATTGCTTTACAAGAGAAAACACCCCTTAAAAGTCCCTTTTTCTAGTGTCAAATTGGGATACATAACAGAATATTGTTAAAAGAAACTGCTAATTGAAAAGATAATTAAGTAAAGCACTCGATATTTACACTAAATTAGATTAGTTAATTGTTAATTAACAATCATATATATAATGCACAAAACATCTAGCGTTCACGTAAAGCTCAGGAAAAGGACATATCACACAAAGTGACAAAGGATATGACGTAGATAGACTACTCTAATGTAAACATTAATTGCTGTTTTCACGGTTCAAATTCATGACATATAAATCACGTAAAAACAACTTTATCGTTGTCCAAACATCTTTTTTAACATTGTTATACAAAAATGGTCCTTTTTAATTGAAGTCTCGTATGATTGTGAATTGAAAGTATGAAAGGCCTTTAAGAAGCTTAAGACTTTTTGGACTAATTTTCCGTTTTATAATGTGAGGGTTAACGTGTCTAATCAGAAAACTAACAGCATGGAGATTATGCGGAAAACTGGTATGAACTTAACTATTTTTATTTCAAATGAAAATAAATATAGGGTTATAAAGGTAATTTTCACTTGGTTAAATGGAATTTAAGCTAATTTCAGGTACATGATGTAAATCTTCTCTTGATATAAATAAATTAGCATTTATTTCATTAATTAAGGTAGCCCATTTTCACACGCTCAAAAGTCAAGAATTTTGAACAGAGAAGGCTAATTTAGGAAAATCAGTCAATTACCTAATAAAAAATTACTTAAAATATTCTTTCCTCCGTTTCAATTTGTTTATCTGATTTTGACCGAAACAAATCTAGAAAAAATAAAATCTTTTAAATTTTATGGTCTTATACTAAAAAGTTGTAAGGAAAAAGAATGGTAACGTTTTTCTTTTTTAAGAAAAAGAGTAAGAAAAATAAATTGATACGATGATAATATAAAGTGATGTTGAATTTATAGTTCTGGTACACAGTTGAAACAACTTATGAAAGCAACAAAAGAATTGAAAGGTTCTTCAACTGCTACTATTACACAACAGAAATTCCAAATATAAATAAATTATATGTTCCAAAGAAAAACACGACTTTTAGTTAAAAATAACCACTATATGACAAAAGAAATTTTGACAGAATTACATGCTTTATTTAAGGAGATGAAATGTATATAGTCAAATATAAATAGAGGTTTATATGAGAAGAAAAATTAAGATTTTTTTTTTTAATTATAACAGAACAAGGGCTAAAAACCATAGTTCCTTAGAGCTCACGTTTCTCTCCATCTCCTTCAAAAACCAGTATTTATGGCCTTTCTCTAATCATTTCTCTACTTTTCTCTCCAACTTTCTCATTGAACTTTATATTAGTTCTTGAATCTTGATTTAGTATTATTTCTTGTTGTTTTTTTGAACGGTTAGGTAATTAACGACCTGATTATTTTTTAAAAAAAAGATCATAAAAAAGGGTGTGTAGGTTGTTTTTGATGATGATGGAGAATTTTTCTGCAAGTGTTAAGATGGATGATCAACAGCAGATGGAACTTCCGCCGGGATTTCGCTTTCATCCTACAGATGAAGAGCTAATTACTCATTATTTGTCTAAGAAAGTGGTTGATATGAATTTCTCTGCTATTGCTATTGGAGATGTTGACATGAACAAAATTGAACCTTGGGAGCTTCCATGTAAGTTGAATTTCTCCCTTTTTTAGTCGTCTGGTTAAACTAAAAAATTACTGGCTACAGTAAATCTGATCGACTATTTGTGTTTCGTGATTCTTGTAGGGAAGGCGAAAATTGGGGAAAAAGAATGGTACTTTTTTTGTGTGAGAGACAAGAAGTATCCAACTGGTTTGAGGACAAACAGGGCAACTGCTGCAGGTTACTGGAAAGCTACAGGAAAAGACAAGGAGATTTTTAGAGGAAGATCTCTTGTTGGGATGAAGAAAACTTTGGTTTTTTACAGAGGAAGGGCTCCAAGAGGTGAAAAAACAAATTGGGTAACTCATGAATATAGATTAGAAGGAAGATTATCACTAAACAATCTTCCTAAAACAGTAAAGGTACAAATTTTTATGCATTAATCCTCTGTTTTTATTTATCCCCATGTTTTGATTTCACAATTCCTAATTTCTGTTTCTTATTTTTTTGTTTACAGAATGATTGGGTGATTTGCAGAGTATTTCAAAAAACAACTGGTGGAAAAAAAATTCACATTTCAGGGCTTGTGAGAGCTAATTCTGATGAAAATGAAATGGTCAATACCGTTTTGCCACCATTGACAGATTCATCGCCTAGCCACGTGCACTGCTTCTCCAATTATGTTACTACTCAAAAGAATCAAGAAAACAACATGATCAATTCCTTCAACAATTCACCTAATTTCCCTCTTCTCTCGAATTCCATCGACATTTTCCAAAGAAACTCTCTTCCGACTTCGTTCACCTGGAACCAAAATGTCCCTCTTCAACACAATTTTCCTCAGCCAGGTTCATTTCCTATACAAGATCCCGCAACGCTAAGGAATTTGCTTGAAAATTACGGACATCAGAGTTTCAAAAAGGAGACAGACATGATCAGTGTATCCCAAGAAACAGGTATAAGCACTGATAGGAACACTGAAATCACATCAGCTCAACAAGATCTTGATTGCTTCTGGACTTACTGATATTCTTGGTAGAGGCAAAAAAAGAAGAAACAGAGATAGAGCTTCAGTAGTAGTAATAGCTATTATGGTGTGAAATTAATTGTTATATGTATAGATTTACTAATCCCCTAAGTTGCATTCAACAATAGTAACCATATTAGTAAGTCCCAAAAACTATACTCCTACCACAATTTTTATTTTATTTTGTTGTCATTTTACACTTCCCATTTGTCTCACTGCCTGTTATTAGTTATTGTGATATTGAATTTGTAAAAAAAAAAACAAACAGTACTACTTTGAACAATGTTAGCCTGTGATTGTATGAGATCAGGTTGGTTGGCTTACTAATCTCTTGTTCTGTTTTTTTCCCCTTTGAAACGACTTTCTTTGTTTATGGATTTCAAGCTTTGAGGTGCGTTATCTTCATTATGATTAGTAAGATAAGATCTCGCCTCTTTATTAGTACTTTTCTTTTTGAAGTCTTTTTTACTTTATTAATAAAACTAGCCTAGACTTAGACACAACGGAATTGCGTTAAAAAAAGTAAAAATCAAAGAACATTGTGATACTCGAATTAAACAATATGCCATGGACTTTGTTTCTTCCTCCATAATTTGTGTATAATTGTGTCATGATTGAGATAATCTCAAAGTGCTTATGACCACTTTCAGATGTCAAAACATGGTATTAACTACTAACCAAACCACGTGGTGTCTTGTCAAAGAAATGATGTTAATAGTTGAGGGTCTAGTCGTTTTCTTCTGTTTTTTTTTTTTTGACAGTGTATATGCTAGTAATATTTATGGTTTATTGTAGGAATTAAACTAGCCAAATGTCAAGGGGATTAGTTGTAACAACAATAATGTAATGTAAATATCAAGTTGAGTTAGAAATACGAAATAAGTGGAAAAACATGCTTCTCGCCACGCATTAAATTAGAAAAACAAGGACCACTTCAAGGCGTTAAGCATGACCAAAGTTTTGCCGTTTCTATGTTTCCTTCATGCTTGAGCTGTTACAGAGACAAAGTCAGAATTTTAATCTGAATTTGAATTTTATAAGCATGATTTCAAGCGTAAATGAAATATTTTAAATTTAATATTTATATATATTTAATAATTTCTTAATATGAATATGAGCAAAACTTATTGCATTCGGCTAAATTGGTATTCAAACTTCTAGCTCCGCCCCGTGGACTCACTCATGTAAAATAAGTGGTTTTACATTTCTCACCGAACCGATTATGCGTTATGCCTATAATTACAATTTCCAATACTAACAACTAGGTTTTATTAAAAGTTTTTACATTTTCGTGAATTTTATGATACCTTTTAACTTTGTTCCAGCTTTCATTGAAGCTCAATTTGTAAAAGGTGAAATGACCAAATTGAAAAGAACAAAGGAAATTAGTTTATACATATACTAACAATATGAATAGATTTATTAAAATTTGTCACAAAGATGAGTGACAAAATGGAACTAAAGTTGCAGTAATTTCATATTCAATTCACATATAATATCAAGGCATATGATCAATTGTTGACAGAAATTTCCTTATCATGGAATTTTAGTGACATGACATTGTGACCCACAACATGTCTATTTGGTTAAAGTATTGTATGTTTCCAATTATAACAAATACAACAATTGATCAGAAAACAGTTCAAAAATTGAACTTGCAAAAATATGGTAAGTTCATTATAAAGTGAAGAACACCATAAATATGAGTAGTAGTAGATATCTGGTACTAGTGTTCAGCTATGATTTGTCAGAATATATTTCTCTGTGACTTTTATTAATGTTAAAATGTGCATTTGTCTTAAAATATTGAACCTGACCGAAAACTAAGGTACGTATGTTTGAAATAAAATCACATGTACTCAAACTGTACATTAAACAAATACTGTTTAATAATCATACGCTACCAAAATTCAGAAACCTAAACTTAAAAATTTATTTGGTATGGCAGCCATTTTATTGGAGAATTCATGTCTAGCCAATTATAACGCGTTTCTAATATATAAAATAATATTAATAATTTGTAGTTTTCACATTTAGTATTATAGAATATTAAACGTTGTCCAACATATTATCACATGATCAAACGTAACTATGGACTTACTCCTCATTAATGTTCTCATCGACCTTATTAAATGCTAATCATGCATGACCTTCTTACTAGACTAATTAAATTTGTTAGAACCACCAATTCTCCCTCCCTCCATTTTTCACACAAATAAGATTACTAACGTATTAATAGAAAGTATTAAAAATTTTATCGTTAATTATAGATTTTAGAGATATCTTTAAAGAGTGCTAAAATGTAATTATCACTAGTAACTTGAGCTTTTGTGAAGCCATATACTATTATATGTTAAATTCGCGAGTTGATTTATTGAATAATCATGAAGTCAGAAATTTAATATCATGTTTTCTTTAATTTTAATTTTCTTCAATAAAAAAAAATTATTTTCTTGAAAGACAATAAATATAAGTTAAGTGATTAAAAAATAAATTAAACTCCAGGAATATTCTCCACTGTTACAAATAGAATTGCCTTTAATGGTAGAAATATATGACTTTATATCCAGATTTTCTTGTTGAATATCAAAATAGATGGTATCTTTAAACTTTTTTTTTTTAAAAAAAAAAAAACTGAAAAAGAGGAGAAGAACAAAAGCAAGGGAGGGGGGAAAAGAAGACAATTGGACAAGTGGAGGACAGTTAAGTGATTCAGGCAAATGGCCAACCTCCCATAATTCACTATTTACCAAACCTTTGACGTGCTTCTTTTGTTCTTCTGCATGCAAATTGTAATGACTTAAAAACGCGTATCTAGAATTTCGAAATGATGGTACATTATTATGAGAAAATGAATTTAATTGTCTGATATTTGAGCTTTTATTATTAAAAATAGTTAAAATTTTAAAGTTGTACATTCAAAAATGAAGTATTTAATTAATTAAAATATCAAAAGTGCTTTCAATAACCATTTAAGAAAAATAAACGACATAAAATTTTTTATTTCTAACCTCGCTAAGAGGTGCACCCAATCCAGCGTGGATCTACACATCTATATATACTTAACAAAAAAATTTAAAAATATAACACTACTATATATAATTCAAGAGGGAAGCATGAGTTCACGGAACATAGTAACCCCCTCAATGACGGACCAACATGTATTGTGATTCATTAATGAGACTATTTTATTTTTAATTATTAGATGTCTTGAATTTATACTCATGTACAAAAGAAATCATATAAAAAGTGTTATTTCTAAATTGATCTGTAATGCATAATTTATATTTAATCGAATTTCAATACATACATCAAATATTAATCGAAAAATAATAAAAAAGTAACGAGTGAATAAGGTTTTTGTCTTTAACGGTTTGACAGGTCATGTCCAAATGGGACACGAGCTTCAGGTTTCCTCTTTACGTCACACTTACCTGGTGGCTAAGTCTAACGAACTGGTGCCTTCCTGTCTACCACTCACTTGCCACGTAATCATATTTCTCTCTGGCCCCACCTCCCTCACGGGCTTGGCACGTGTATTGATATTTTACTCGTAGCTAAAAAAATAAAATTTATTGCTAAATTTTATTTTTTTAAAAGAAGATAATTAACTTCTATATATATTATTATTGTATAGTTGACACGGCTATTATGAGAAACGAAAAAGTTGTTACAAAAGAGTTAGCATTTTAACAAAATTACAAATAAATAACTGTTTGATCAAACTTCGTAATATTTTTTAAAATTACTAATTACAGAAAAGGTTGTTGCAAAATTTACGTAACTAAAACAGAAAATAAATAGGTTACGTTGGACAAATCTAGCAAATGGACATTCGTCTAGTGATCATCATAATTCAGTAATTCATTATACTAATAATGTGATCTCTTTACATTGGATTATTATGTGACACTAAAGTGTAAATGCAAGATATATTGGAGATGCAAACAAATAAATTTGTTAAGATAAGGTATGGAAATTAATTTTGAAGCTTATCCTATAGCCTTTTTTAAACATTAAGTCGTTTTGTTTGGCTAAAAATATGCATGTATAGTGTGAAAGGGGGAGAATTGAAATCGTTAAGTCATTTATAGCTTTTGAATTTTCCCCCCCTACCTATATATTAAATTACTCTCTTTTTTCTCAAATTAATTTTATTTATAGTGATTTTTTTTATATCAAAATAAAGTGTAATCTTAAAAATTTATTTGCTTTTAATTATATTATATCCTTTTTTTAAGTGTACAATTTTCAAAGAATATTTATTAAATAAGAATAATTTAATAGAGATTTATTATAATATTATATAATATAATATTTTTTGTTAAAATGACACATTTTGAGAGGAAGATTCAATCCTATTTTTCCTTTGTCACAACAAGTATTGATTTTATCCCACGTGCCTTTAACAATTGTTTTTGTTATATAGTCTTTTTATAAATAAAAAGACAAAATAGTAGTAACTGCAGTTGTCAAATGCAACACTTAGTTATATTTCTTCTAGTCGTAAAATTCTGTCCATGCTGAATTGTGAAAACCATTTTGGGGTTTTGCATGTTTATTCAACATATTTGTGATTGTTTGCAAAAAAATAAAAATAAAAAATATATTACAATCACAAAACAAAAATATAAAAAAGAAATTATTTCATCAAGATTGTGAGTAAAAATCAATTTGGCTTTCTTGATCTCTTTGTATTTTCAAGATAGTGAACGACATATTTTTTTGAATTCAGAATAATGTGGATCTCCTTTTCAATTTTTTTTTAATCTTCTCAATGTATTAAAATTGTCAAAAAAAGAATTTGCCACGTTCAATCCCGGTGTGAATGTTTTATAAATTTATAAAATTTTCATAATCGCTCTTTAAAGAAATTTATTTCCTTTTATATATGCATGAGCAGAGTTTATGATAGAGCAACCTCCAAAAACTCTAACTAAAATTGAATTCGTCCTATAAAGTCCCCACAAAATTTCAATGTGTACCGTGAGATAACAATTATTTGATTTTGAAATGCATACATTTATATCAAAATTGACAAATATAGAGTAAAATCTAACAAGAAATTAAAAGAATTTAGGCAGTCATCATGGGTGCTTGCTTCATCTAGAAATTTTATGAATCTCTCCAATCACATAAATTAAATTCAATGTCATAATGTTAGTAATATACATGTGAAGTAAAGTCAATTTCATGGTTCAAGTCAATGAAAATGATGAACAAGTTCATTGAATGTTGGCAAAATTTGTTGGGATTTTTCTCTGGAACACGTTTTGCTATATATAATCCAATTGTACATGTGAAATAACACCACAAACATCACTTGG